CCGGACTTTGAGGACATTCTACTGAGCTCAAGAGGCTGGCACAGACAGACAAATATATCATGATTATGTTCTTGTGGAAAGTCTAGACAGATAAAAAAAAAAAAGGATTGATGGTTTCCAGGGCCTGGGAGTAAGGGAAAGGTCAGAATGAAGTGTGGGGGGTGACTGCCAATGTTTGTGGTCCCTCTGGGGTGATGAGAATTAGATAGTTGGTGATTGCACCAACATTATTTGTGTTATATGCTAAGTAAGTAATGAATTACTCTATTTTTTTAAAAAATAATACCATTTTTAATTCATGGTTTGCATACTCTTTCATTGATTAAAACAAGAGAATGTCTTGGGATACTTCAGTATCTAATCACTGAAGACCCCAGGCTAATGGTGTTAGCATCACCTACTTTAATTATCTGAGATTGTAAATCCTAGAATCTTTGACATTGTATTTAAATAATCATCTGAACTGAGGAAAATTTCTGCTACAAATGTTCTTTTTTATATATTTTTACATCATTCTCCATTTTGTGCAATTTTTCATCTCATTTGTAATCCCCATGGGCTTTTCACCACTAGTTCACCCATGTGCCATCACCATAGTCCAGTGCACTCTTCCCACTCCAGTTCTGATCCCATTCCCCTTTCACCCCCATAAAATGTCTCTGGTTTATAGTGGTTCATTTTTTTTTATAATAGTACATTTTTACATCATTTTGTACATTTTTTTTTATCTCAGCTGTAATCCCCTTGGGTTTCCCATCACTGAGTCATTGCATTGTTTTCTTTTTTACTCTATTACATTTGTTTCTCTCCCCTCCCCCCATCCCTTATCCTTCTGCTATGAGTGAAACCATCCCGTATTTTTCTTTTTCTTTTTCTTTCTGGTTTATGTCACTAAATATGATTCCTTCCAGCTCCATCCATGTTGCTGGAAAAGGCATGAGTTTATCTTTTTTTTTAATTGTTGAGTAATATTCCATTGTGTATATGTACCATATCTTTTTAATCCAGTTATCTGTTTTGGGGCATTTGGGTTGATTCCACATCTTCCCTATTGTCACTAGAGTAGCCATAAACATGGGGGTGCAGGTGTCCTTTTGAATCAATGTTTTTGTGTCTTTTGGGTAGATACCTAGGAGTGGGATTGCTGGGTCATATGGAAGCACTATATTTATTCTTTTGAGAAACCTCCAAACAGCTTTCCATAGTGGTTGTATCAGTTTGCATTCCCACCAGCAGTGTAGGAGAGTTTGTTTTTTTCCACATCCTCGCCAACATTTGTTGTTGCTAGTTGTTTTAATATGTATCATTCTCACTGGTGTGAGGTGCTATCTTATTGTGGTTTTAATTTGCATTTCCCTTATAATACAAGTGATGTTGAACATTTTTTTCATATGCCTGCTGGCCATCTGCATTTCTTCTTTGGAGAAATGTCTTTGTAGCTCTTATACCCATTTTTTGATGGGGTTGTTCATTTTATTTTTGTTGAGTTTAATCAGCTCTTTTTGTACCTTTGTGATCAGTCCTTTGTCACTAGCATTGTGTACAAATATTTTCTCCCAGTCAGTGGGATGTCTCTGTTTTGTGTAGTGTCTCTCTTGCTATACAGAAGCTCTTTAATTTGATGTAGTCACAGCTTGCTTTGGGTGATGTATTTTTTTTTTTTTTAAGATTTATTTATTTATGCATTACAGAACTGGGATTCAGGCCTGAGGTGCAGGGGTGGTAAGAGGATTCACCAGAGACAGTGGAGAGAAGCACAGGCCGACTGCTGAGGACAGTAGTGGGCAGGTCAGGAGAGGTCTGCTGCGCCATGTGGATCACATCCAGGGCGGGTGGGAATTGAACTCATGCTTAAGTGGCTTAAGTTTCTTAGTGCTATGTTTTAACCCGCTGTGCCACCAGGGAGGGTCTGGGTGATGTATTTTTAAAGATATTATCCTTGCTTTGGGTGATGTATCTTTAAAGATATTATTGAGGTATATGTCATGCAGAGTTTTGCCTACCTTTTCTTCTAGGTATTTTATGGTTTCAGGTCTTATGTCTAGTTCTTTAATCCATTTCAAGTTGGATTTTGTGCACGGTGCAAGGTAATGATCTAACTTCTTCTTCTTCTTTTTTTTTGCACGTAGCAGTCCAGTTTTCCTAGCACCATTTGTTGAACAAACTTTCTTTGTTCCATTGCATATTCTTTACTCCTTTGTCAAAAATTAGCTGTCCATAAACCTGTGGGTTTATATCTGGGCTTTCTATTGAATCCATTGGTCTGTATGTCTGTTCTTGTTCCAGTACAATGCAGTTTTAATTATTACGGCTTTGTAGTATAGCTTGAAGTCTGGAATTGTGAGGCCTCCGGTCTCTCGTTTTAGTCAGGAGAGTTGTGTCTTTGAGATTTATTGTGGTTCCATATAAATCTCATCAATATTTGTTCTATTTCTTTGAAGAATGTCATTGAGATTTTTATTGGAATAGTGTTAAATCTATACATCACTTTTGGTAGGATGTTCATTTTAATGATGTTAATTCTTCTGATCCATGAGCAGGGGATGTCTTTCCATTTCCTGTATCTTCTTAAGTTATTCACTTTACAGTGGTTAATTTTATGAGAATTTCAACTCACAAATTGTATTAAGGTAGTGTGGAATTCATCTTAGTTTTTGCTTTGTGTTTTGTTTCCATTTCAGCTTATCAATAACCATGGACTGGTCCTTGTGCTTCTTTAGACATATGCTCTTCAGCAAACTTAAAAAACAAATAGGGCCTCCCTGATGGCCTAGGGGGTGAGTCCCAGCATTATCACAACTATAGCCTGGGTTCATTCCTGGCCAGTAAGGACACATGACACAGTAGGCCTCTCTTGTCTTGCCCATTGCTCCTCTTACCTGTGTATTTCAATAAATCCACCTGCTCTGTTTCTAGTGAATCATCTTACTACCTGCACACCTATGGCCTACACCCCAGGTCCTCTAAGCAAAAATAAATTAAAATTAAAAACTTGTGGCAAGGTTGCTGGGACAGAGAAAGGAACACATGAGTAAAGACTTGGGGGTTCTTCTGTTATTGTATTTGAGGGTGGGTATCTAGGATTTCATGGACTCTGTTGGGTGATTTGAAAACAGTAGAGCTGGGAAATTAAAGTACAGGTAGAGAAATAGAAAATCATATGACCTCCCAAATGGTCAGTTATCTAAATCAGGGATCTGAAACAGGCATCTCAGTAGTGTGAAGTGTCTCGGCCCTTCATCAAATCCTGTGATTGTGTTTATTTGAGTTAGCCCTTTTTAAAGTGGATGCCTTGGTATCAAAAACCTTAAGCCAGGCACTTGCATTACAAAAAGAAATGTTGACTGCCAGGGCCTGCAGAGTACCTATATGGTTTGCTCCCAGGGCACAGTATCTTGGCAGCAAGAGCTGGGTTGTGTGTGTGTGTGAAAAAAACCTATGATGGAGCCCCTGGGCTGCATTTGGGTTGACCTTAGTGGGCATTGTTCAGTGGGCCATTGGCCTGATTGTGGTGCTGTCTGAAGCACTGGATGATCTATGTAAGACTTGCTAGTTTCTGAGGTAGAGGCAGTTGTAAAATACAAGCCTCTAAATGTGATGATAGAGATCTGAGCCATCAGACTGATTAACCAAGACCCAAGTAAAATAAACTCTGAGGGTCTCTCTTTCCAGAGATTTATAGTTCTCTAACTTCTCCTGGAATAGCAAAACCAGAATATAGTTCCCACTGGGAAGGTTTCTGTAGTTCAGTAAGGACGGGCCGGATTCTTGGTGTGGGAGTCTCTGAGGGCCATGTCAGACCCCACACATGAACTTTAGAGCAGAGTCAGCCAGAAGATGTCTGAATGACATCTTAACCAGACTGTTCATTGGCAGGGTAGAAACCATTCATCTGATGGGGTGAGCAGTAGGGGTTCTCAGAAGCTGCCACCTGACCCCGGGGTATTCATACTACATCCACCTGGGTGAATTCATAGTGGGACGGTTGCTTTTGTCAGAAGCTGAGATGCTGATGTTAATGCCATGCTTGCAGTTTTCCAGAGATTCTATCACCCAGCCTTCCTGTGTGCCTAGGCCCTTGAGGTTGCGCCTGGGTTGAGCCCTGCTGCAACCTGGGCTCTTCTGGCCAGGGTGCTCTGGTAGCAGAGCTGGAGCTTGACGCTGTGTGCCACAGCTAGTGAGCACGGGGCCTGCTTGCTTCTGACCTGCAAGTGATACCTGCCAAGAACAACCAAGGTAACAAAAGGGGCCCCCAAGGGGCCAAGTCCAAGCCTACTTTTTCAATTTGCCACCAGGCCATAACCCCCTCCTCATGGCATACATGCGAGTCAGCACTGCTTTCCGTGGCTGGCTCTTCCCCTTCATTTTAGCTCCCTGCCCTGTGGGCATGATTGAGAGCCTCATTCCATCAGAAAGCAGACACTGCCAGCAAGGATGGGCAAGTGCGAGTTATCAGAGCTCAGAGCTAGCCTGACCGGGACAGGTAGCCAGACAGGGTACCTAGGTATCTGGGTGGGCAGTGCTCATCATGGGGCTGGACCCTCTGTTCCTCAGGCCCTGGGAGGCAGAATGACAGCTGAGCTAGTATGCAGGAGGGAGGCGGGATGTTTACATGTGTTCACATTTGGAGTTGTGCCTCTCTTGGCTGCATGGGTGCTCTTGAGGCCAGTGTTGGGTGACATCTTTGAGCTCTTGGGAATGGCGCTCCTTGCTCAGAGTGGGCTGGGAAGCTGGTGGCTCAGGAGATGGAGTGGTGATGCTCATTAAGCACTGTCCTCTGAGAGCATCTGGGAGAGAAGGACCCAGACACCATTGCGTCATTCCTGGGGCAGCAGGTCCTTGATGCAGTGTCATCCTATATCCCATCCCCTGAGTTCCACTGTTCCTCTCTGGGAACCCATTTCCGATGTCTTCACACCCCTTTTGGGACCCTCTTCCCTCCAGGCCCACTGAATAGCACTGCCTCTTCCTCATTTGCCCATCCCTGCCCTCTGTCCCAGGTAAGCCTGAACAAGGTGGGCGAATATTGGTGGAGTGCCATCCTGGAGGGCGAAGAACACATCGACATTGACAAGATCAACAAGGAGCGCTCCATGGCCACGGTGGATGAGGAGGAGCATGCTGTCCTGGACAGGCTCACCTTCGACTATCACCAGAAGCTGCAGGGCAAGCCACAGAGCCACGAGCTGGTACGAGCACCCTGTCCATCCTGCTGTGTGAGGATGTAGTCAGAGAGCCTCACTGCAAGACCTGCTGTGTGAGGTGTAGTCAGAGCGCCTCACTGCAAGGTGCAGTTGCTTGCTGGGTTGTGATGTGGGAAGCGCCAGTCTGTCATTGCTCGGGACAGGACTCTGCTCCCACACCTACCTAGACTGAGAGCGCAGGTGGCTCCATAATACTGTGTGTTCCTGCCTCATGTTGGAACTGCCCAGATAAACCCCTCCTTTGACACCTTTCAGGGCCTTTATCAGAGAAGGGAGGCCCAGGCCCCCCAGGCCCACTCCTGTTGCAGGACCTGGCAGGTTTGACCACTGAGGACACATGGGAAGAATTCACTTCCAACTTACTTCTAAGAGCAGAGCCCAAAAGAGTCAGCATGTCCAGTGGCTGTGAACAGATAGGAGGAAGCTGGACTCGGGAGGAGGCTTAGCCCTCAGCAGCCACAACTTGCCTGGCTTATTTAGAGTATTTAGATGTGCACTTTCTCTTTCTGTTGTAATCCCAGGAGTGGCTATTTAGGGAAGAAAGGGTTGCTCTCTCCAGGTTATTTTTAACTTCCTGTGCTCCACACTGTAGTGTGCAGGTAAGGCCTTGTAAGCCCTAGTCTGGGGGAGAGTGGACTGCTGGACATGCGGGTTTCATGTAAACTGTTAAAACACAGTACCACCACCTCCATCCCCACTCATGTTCTCACAGTTCTCTCCTACGGGGTGGGAGCATACTTCGCATTTCCTGTGAGTGTTCATTCCCACGACTGCTGAGTATGGCTGCCCCCTCTGCTCCAACCTCTCCCCTCCCCCGAGCATTGCTGGTGTGCCTGTTTGTCTGTCCTTTCCTTCCTCACTATTCAGACCTCACTTGCCCCTGCAAGGCTTAAGGAGATGTGGAGGGGAGCACTTACCTTAGTGAGTACTTAACTGCACTCAGCCCAGTTTGGACTGACAAGGTCGTGGACTCCACAGCTCCCCTGAGAAGAGGGTTTATTTCATTTTGGATGTTACGGATGTTCATGATCCCACAGCTGCTCAAGCAGCAGGGCTGGGGTTTGAACCTGAGCTGGTTCAAGGAGTCTCTCTTATGCCTCCCTCAAGTCCTGAATCTTCTGATGTGGTTCCCTGGTCCACAGGACTAGAGGCCAGGCCTCACCAGCCATCAGGGAAGATCTTGGCCTTCTTGCTGATTGTTTCTGCTTCTAATCTCTGAGCTTACAGGGTGTGGGACGTGGAGAGCGTTTAGGCACATGAGTCACACTGCATGTGCCTATGGCCCCAGTATGAACGAGCACTTTGATCAGTGACCTGGGAGTGGGAGGTGGGGGGCTTGGAGTGGGGAGGCCGTGCTTCCTTAGGAGGTCCCAAAGGGCTTCCTCAGGAGAGTCCCTGCTCATGGGGTTGGGTGATCTGGAAGGATCTAAAGAACAGCTTTGAAGACTGTGGCCTGATGGAAAGTTTTTGAGTCAGAAGAATTATGGAAGGACTGACCCTGTGCTGGGCAGTATACTGGCCTGACGGAAAGGGGACTTTAGTGCTTGACTGAGTGCCACACCCTGTGAGTCCTTCAGTGCACACACAGGAACCAGGGGTTGGCAGTGCATATGGCCAAACCACAGGGGACCCGCTCCTGGGTGACCCTTGCTGGAGATAGTGAAGAACAATGTCTCAGGGAGCTGGTGATTTGGAGACGAAAGTATGTCCAGTGGTCTAGTCTGGAGCCAGCATTGCTGTCTGGCACTCATGTGGGCTTATAGGATTCAAGGAGGAGCACTTGTGAATGAGGTCTGATTACCTAGGAATGTTCTACATGGGACATCTACAGCACACAGACCTTGAGGAAGCGCATTATGACACTCAGGTTTGGGACCAAGAGAAGAGTGTAGAGGCATGAGGAGCCACATGAGGACTTGGTCCTGGTGGCGAGGGAGCTGATGGTATGGAACTTGGTGGGTTTTCACAACATCGATGGTTTAACCAGGAGAAGTAGGTTCCTAGGAGAATGAGGACATTGGAATCAGAGGTCAACAGAACCTGCTGGTGGCCCCAGATGAGGGCTATGGAGGGAAGGGGCAATTTAAGAAAGTGGTGGTGGGTTACACTGCTCAGGGTCTCTGGGGTAGGGTCTCTGGGGTAGGGTCTGTAGGGGAATCAGGCTGAGGGTTCTGTTTTAGAGTTGCCACTGGAGAGCCTGTTAGACCACCCATGAGGAGGTTGGATACATGATGGGACTGAGAGTGGGAGTGCTGTGCAGTACTCACCCAAAAGATGAGGATGCTCCACTGGGGGGCTGCGGAGACCAAAGGGAGTGGGAAGGTGTGGGGCCTCAAAGTGGTGCCAGGCATGAGCAGGGGGCCTCCCCTCTCTGGTCCTTTCCAGAGAGGCTGGGTTGGTGTCTTCTCCCATGGCATGAGCTGACCTGCAGGGTGGTAGTGCCCCATGCAGGTGTTCTGCCCAAGGTCTTCGGGGTATGCTCTGTTCCAAAGTGGAAGTAGTATGATTAGTCCCTAGCATGTGCTACAACATGCTTGCTGCTGTACACTTAGGTTTTATAACAGGGAAAGAAGGCCAGTGACAGAAGGGAGAGCCCCACAGCCTTGTCGGATACCTGGAATTTTCCCCACCTCTCAGTCTGCTTGCCTGACATGAGAGGTCAGCAGAACTTTTGTCAAAGCATAGCCAGGTGATGAGGGCAGACACGGGGACACTGGCAGGAAGGCGCGGCCTGTGGCACAGAGACTTCCTCATTGGCACCTGCAGCCCCCTAACCTAGGCCACATATCTTGGCCTGCTGCTGCCCCGGGCGGCACATGGTTTGGGCTGGTCACATGATAGTACTGCTAGCCCCGCAACGATCCTGCCTTCAGGAGCAGCCGATCTGGGGTCCGTCTCTCCCTCTCAGTCAGTCACCTGCTGAGGGTGCAGGCCTCAACGCTCCTTGGTGAAGGGGACCAGTGTACCCTCTCTGTACTTCAGTCAGCCCCAGAGGTGGAGATGACCCTGCCCCTTACACCTCAGTCCCATGGTCTCTAGCCCGTCAGGCATTTGGGATTCCTGTTGAGAAGGGACAGCAGCTGAAAGGAAGATGGGTATTGCAAGTGGCAAGATGGGGGTGGGGTAGAGTTAGCACGCGGGAGCATAACTTTTGGAGGGTCTGTAGCCACCCTGGATGGGATCCTCCTGAGGAAGCAGAGCGTATCCTGCTTGAGGACACGAGGCTTGGTGACCATGGTTAACCTCTCTGTCTATTTTCTGTTTGTAGAAAGTCCATGAGATGCTGAAGAAGGGGTGGGATGCTGAAGGCTCTCCCTTCCGAGGCCAGCGATTCGACCCGGCCATGTTCAACATCTCCCCAGGGGCTGTGCAGTTTTAATGACCGAAGGAAACGAAACCCTCGCCAGTGGGGAGCCAGGGCCTCGGCCATGCCCCTTGGCTCCCTGCCTGCCAGGGACTCTGTCTGGCTCACTGCGCCGTCCTTTCTTTCAGGGGAGAATCAGGCCTCTCCCCTGGCCTTGTACCTCCAGACTGCTCCGGAGAAAGGGGCTGGGCGGCAATACTGAGCAAGGGTGTTGGAGAACAGGAGGGTGTTCCAGCAGACCGCAGGGCCGGGCCTGGCAGCGCTTCGTTGCCCTGCTCTCTGCTCGCTGCTGTTTGACCTCTGCTTGCTTTTCTCGTGCTTGAGGGCAGGGAGTGGTGCCGGGTTCAGTTGTCGAAGCATGGGCAGGTGTGCAATGGTGGGCCACGCGCCTGGGCAGTTTGGGGAAACTACCCCCCTCTCCCCTCCCCCCCATGGCTCACATGCAGTTGTGTTTTTCCATGTGAGTGTGTGCCATCTCCCTGGCCTGGTCCCAGAGCGGAGAACACTGAGGTCCTGCTTGCTGGTTCTGGATGCTGGGAGAAAATTCTGTGGCCTCAGTGCTTGTGGGAGGACATCTGTTCTCTGTTGATAGTGCTTTCCTCTTGTGAGCCCAGTCTTATCAGTGAGCCCACTGCTCTGCTTGGGTGCCCTCAGGCTGGTTCTGGGTGCACTGATGGCTGGGCCCTCAGGAAACCAGGCCTATCAGCAGCCTCTTGGCAGTGTGCGCAGCCTTGGTCCCTTCTCCCAGCCATGATGTTCAGTGTCCCATTGTGCTGACCACAATCACTGCAGGACTCCCAACTCCTCCCCAGCACTCTAAGAACCTGGAGACTGTGCCCCGGTCAGTGCCCTTTGTGCCTGGCACAGGACCGTGGGCTGCTCTGTTGGGTGGTCGCCTTGCAGATCTCCACAGCCTGCCCTTGTGCATTTTGTCCACTGCATTGGGGGAGGAGGACACCTCTCTGGGTAGTGGACCTTCTGGAAACTGTCATCTTCACCCCAATGGATGGGAGCTGGTTTATTGAAATCATTTGGGGGCAGGTTTCTGACTCTCAGTCAGTAAGTGACAGTCCTATAAGAAGCATCCCCTGGTCCTCTGAGGAGCGTATGTCACTCTGATGCCATCAAGGGAGGCGCAGACTGCAGGTGGCTGGTGGGAGCACTGTTGGGAGTATGGAAGCCTGTTGTTTGCATGTGTCTCCTAGACCGGTTGTGGGACTGCAGCGCCCCTTTCCAGAGCCCTGAGATTGCAGGTCTGTCATCCCATCCAACACAAGTTCTCGTGGCCTGCATCTGTGAGGACTGCTCTCATTGTGCCTCTGTCTTGCTGCCCTTGGCCATGCCTCTGGGGTTCCCCAAGCGATGGGTTAGAATGTGCGCCCTGCATCTCAGTTACTGGGGAGACTTTGGAGCTGTGGTCGCTGTGTCATTTGTCTTCCTTTTGCCTGATTTTATTTTCAGTGTTGCATTTCCCTCACCCTCATCTGCTGTAACAGCGGCACCCAGGTGTTGGGAGTAGCAGACTCGGGGCGGCAGAGGTGCTGGCACGTACACGTGACTGAGTGGTGCCGCCCTCACCATCCACTGGTTGCCTTCTGCTTCTTGCTGCCATCCATGACCAGCCCAGCACCCTGGAGTAGGTGCCCTCTGCCTGTTTTCTCTCTCTAGACACGACAGCAGCGGACTGACCACTGAACTCCATCAGCTGAGGCTCGAGGAAAAGTGGGGTACCAGCCTGTGACGTCATCTTCGTCTCCGGTGTTGGTTTGCAATAAATCTGTATTTAAGCACTTCTGGGATCTCTGTGTGATGTTTGCTACTGAGAGAATTTGCTGCTGGGGTCATTTCTGTGACCTCTAGCGTGAGGTCTGCATTGCAGAACATGCCAAAAGGGGAATTCCTAAATGTCTCCTAAAAATGTTTCTCACCAGCCTGCACACTGGTCAGGTTCACACAGCCCAGAACCCTAGTAAGCTTTAAATCAGGAAAAAAGAATGGTAGCTGTAGTGCCAAAAGGTTCTAAAAACCCAGAGTGGACACAGGATTCAGGGGCTTCAGACACAGGAGCCCTCGGGTGCCTCACTACCTCATCCCAAAATGCCAGGCCAGGTGTCCTGCTCCTCCCAGCGTCATAACAAAGGCACCCCTTCCTCCCTCGCCTCAAGCTCTCCCCCCTCCCCTTCACGAAGGCACCTCTAGCCCTGCTAATGCCCAGTGGGTATTTCTTAGGAATAGTTCACGAATGAAGAATGCTTCGGTGACTCAACAGTGGCTTTATGAACAAACCCCCAGGGCCAAAAATAACCTGTCCCCTAAATCATGGGGGAGGGAGAACAGATAGGACTGTTCTGTGTGGAAAAGTATTTGGGAGGTAGCAGCTGCGAAACAGACCCTCACCCGCTTCCAGTCTGCTCCTGTAGGGGCCAGCTGGCTCTGCGTTCAGCACAGGGTGGGCCCGCTCCTTCGTGTGTTTGGGGCTGTCTGAGCAGAAACTGACCAGCCTTGGATAAACACGCCCTCCCTTGGTCTGAGGGCGGCCACCAAAGCAGTCGCTCACCTGGCAGCTTGGACGTGAAGCCCCTGCCAGGTGGGTCTGCTGGGCATGTGTTCCTTGGGTACCAGGCACAGTGTTCCTGTTCTGTTACTGACGCCGTGAACATGGCTAGCAGGAGCCTGGGGCCTCACCTGCTAAACCCTGTTGCAGTTTCAGGGGCGAGGAAAAAAGTGCTAAGCCTGTCAGATGCCTTCCTGCCTGCTGCCCTGGGGATCCAGTGGGCTGCTGCCTATTTGCAGGGTGTCTGGAGGGGCAGGGGCCTGCCCTGGAAGAAGCTGGCTCCCTATGACTTGGTCTTGCTGAGGCCGAGGGGGTCTGTGTGTTGGGACATTTTTACACCCCACCTATACACAGCGGCCCCAGTGGGCCTGAGAGGGTCTTAACACGGTGGTAGTCTCCTGCCGAGAATACCTCCATTTTCCCTGGAGAAGGATTAGGAGGCTGTTGAAAGACACAACTCCACCCTGAGTCAGTCACAGGTTCTCTAGGGAATTCATCTGGGGCTCTTTTTGCCTTAGTCCTGGCTCGCAGGAAGTCTCTTAAGTAGAGCCGGATGGGACCTCAGCAACTATTTGGTCCAATCCATTGGTGGAGGGCATGTGGTACCCCCAAGACTCCAGCTAGGCCCATAACCTGGCTTGTCTCCAGGAGAGCAGGGCAGGGTGTGGGGGTAGGCCCAAGGGGTTCCTTGTGCCCTCAGTCTTGCAGGGTTTTCCTCACCTGCTGTCTCCATCTCTGCAGAACAGGCACTAAGGGCCCTCCCTGGCTAAGTAATGGGATAGAGAGGCCCCCACATGTTACTCACCCTCTGTAACCCTGGTGGCCCAGAAATTCCAAGAGAAGGATCCTGAAGGGCATTTGGCCATTTCCTAATGGGTGTGGGCTGCCGGTCTGCCGAGCACGCCTCCGAGTCCCAGTGACGAGATCGCCAGAAATGAAGGAGCTGCTGTGTGTAAAGTCGGGGGCCCCAGGGATGGTGTGTTTGACCCACAGTGCACGCCCCACAGTTGTGAACAAAGAAAAGTTTGGTGAACTTACAACCTGGAAAACCCTGGCTACCTGCTGGGGGTGGAGGGGGGGTGCTGTGACAAGCTGGGACCTTCTTTGCGGAAGACTGACAGCAGCACCCTCAGGGCCAGGAGGGCTGCAGAGACAGGAGGTCACAGCCAGGATGCAGCAGAGAGCTGCAGAGGGAGGCAGAGGCAAAATGGGAAGAAGGAACTAGAACACTGTGCTCTTGCAGTCCCGCTGGGGGTCCCATATGTTCTCTCTGTTCTCAAGATAAATGTTCCCATTTCTGTGTCTTGGGAGCAGAAAGAGCATTAACTAGGGACACCCTGAGTGTCTGGTGTGGACTTCGTGAGGACGCCCACGGTGATGCCAGTGGCTGATGTTTACGGAGCGCAGATGTTGGTGGTTCTCAGGCAGCATCTGCACTGCGAGAATGCTGCCTACAGGGCCTGATGCTCAGGGCGGCGCTCCCCATGGCGGCTGGGAGGCAAGGGTAGCAGTGCTCCATGGCGCTGTCTGCCCTGGGGTCATCTAGCAATGAGTTTGGGGGTCAGGAGGCCAGTCATTGGCCTCTCATGTGAACAAGCAGCCACAGAGCTGTGTTGGAGGCCCCCGAGTCCCACCACCTGCCCAGAAAGGGGCCTGCGTGGTGCCCCCGATATAGCCTCTTGCTACTCAGAAAGAGAGGATGCTGTCTTGTGCTTTTAAACACGAAGATGGGCTCAAGAGTTGGGTAGGGAAGAGAATAAGGCATTTGGGGATTTTGCCCACCTTACCAGAGGGATTGGTTGTGGGAGTCCTTAGGGGTACTAGCACAGATCCTCTGGTGTGGGGAGGAGACAGGACCCACACTCCCCATCATGAGGTGCTCATTCCATCCAGCCTCATGCCACCTTCTGTGAAGTCATCTTTACAGGATTCACCTGGCAGTGGACTCTGGCCAAGAGACCAGACCCCAGGCCTGGACTGCAGCCACGCAGCACTGCTGATGGCCTGATGTGCCTCTGCTAGCAGAGGTCTGCACATGGTGGCAGTGGGCACTCATTTACCCCTGTGGCTAGGGGAGTGTTTGGAGTGGCAAGGGTCAGGAAGATCACTCCAGCTACCCTATCAGATTCCATGTGGACCCAGTCACAGGACACTACCCACTCTGTGGCCACCGACAAAGCAGGGATTTCCAACACTTTTTTTTTTTAAGATTATTTATGCATACAGAATTGGGGTACAGGCCAGAGGTACAGGGGCGGTGAGAGGATTCACCAGAGACAGCAGGGAGCAGATCAGGCAGATTGATGAAGTACACTGCTGAGTGGAGCAGTGGGAGGGTCAGGAGAGGTCTGCTGCATCATGTGGGTCAGCTTCCTGGCCGGGGATCGAACTCGTGGAAGGGGCTGTGGCTAGCTTCATAGTACTGCACCTAACCTGTTGTGTCACCAGGGAGGGCCCTCTAAAGCTCTTAATTAACTGGGCTAGTGACCAAATAGAACACTAAGATGGTAGACAGACTTGAGGATGGACTCGGGCTCAGGTAGTGTCTACAGCCCCCCACCCCACCTCCAAGACCTAGAAATGCCCCTTAAGGGTAGGTCTTGAAGGCTAGGGTCAGGCCTGAGGAACAGTTTGTGTGGCTGGGGACCTTGGGCCTCAAGGTGGCAGGCTGAGGAGACTAGCTGAGAAGGGTGGGGGGTGTGAGGCAGCGGAGGGAGGGGGGACTTGGCAAGGATTGCAAGAGGTAGAGGAGGGGCTCTATGGTACTGCCCTCTCTGTCTCTCTGTAGGTGCAGTCTCTGTGCACCTCTTCCCCACCCCTGCCCCCGCCCCCAGTTGTCTTCTCCACAGGTGCTGGTCCCAACTCCCCCTTGAGTCCCCAGGCTTGGGGTCATCTAAACCTTTTCCTTGACACCATCTGACTGGTGAACCTGAGTTCCAGGCTCCGACCTACCCTGTCCCTCCCTCACTGAGAGGCCTTAGCCAAGTCTGTTCTAGTCCCAGCCTGCCTTGCACTCAACTTGGAGAATTTGAACTGTGTTCCATGGGATCCTGGCAGGAAGATGTGCCCTAACACTTTCATTCTGAAGATTCCGAGGAAGCTTCAGTAAATGTTGCTGGAGGTGTGCTAGGTCCGGGAATCCACAGGGATGTTGAGCAATTGTGTGAGCCTGTACAGGAGGGGTTATCCTGAGGCTACAGGCACATGGGGTCCCAGGGCATGGTCTGACACCTCAGGAAGTTTGGAGCTCCAGTGTGGCTCAAATGGGCCCACCTGGAGGACACAGCAAAGCAGTGGCAGGGGGAGGCACTCAAGAGGTTTTTACATATGTTAAGCCATTTGTGCACCTCTGGGATAAATTCCACTTGATCATGGTGTAGGATACTTCTGGTATATAGCTGAATTTGGTTTGCTATTGTTTTTTATTATTATTATTAAAAATTAGATTTATTCATGCACAAGAATTGGGGTACAGGCCAGAGGTGCAGGAGGCAGGGTGAGCAGATTCACTAGAGACAGAGTGGGGAACAGAACAGACTGATAGAACAAAGTGTGCTGCTGAGGTGAGCAGTGGGCAAGATAGGAGAGGTCTGCTGCATCATGTGGGTCAGCTCCCTGGCCGGGGATAGAACTCATGTTGCAGTAGCTGTGGATAGCTTCATCGTGCTGAGATTTAACCTCTTGTGTCACCAGGGAGGCCTTTTTTTGAAAAAATTTACATCATTGTTCTGGGATTTTGGTCTATAATTTTTCTTGTGCTGTTTTTCTCAGGTTTTGGTATTACAGTAATGTTGACATCATGAAATGTTTTAGGTAGCATTCCTTGTACTTTTTAAAACAATGTGAGCAAGGTGTGCATTAGTTCTTTAAAAAATTGGTAAAATTCATTTGCAAAGCCATCTGGTCTTGGGCTTTCATTTGTCAAATGATTTTTTGTTACTGTTTCAATTTCTATGCTTGTGATCAGTTTGTTCATTTCATCTGTTTCTTTTGGCATTAGTTGTGGTAGACTATATTGATGTAAAATGTATCATTTCTCCAAATTTCTCCAATTTGTTGGCATATAATTCATGCTAATCTCATAATCTTTTGTATTTCTGTGCTATCTCTTTTGTCCATTGTGATTCTGTTTATTGATATTTTATCTTTCCATTATGTTAGCCTATCTCCCAAAGAACTTCCTCTTAATTTCATTGATGATGATTATTATTATTATTTTTTTTTTAAAGATTTATTTAT